GTTAGAGATCCATGTCTATAATGGATGGTTCTTTAGGTACAGGCTTGTTTTCACATCAACTGAGTCTTTTATTTTTAAGAGGCACTCCCTTGGTTATAGTCTGACCACGTTTAAGGAGTTGAATGTGTGGCAATTTCCAGAAAAATCCTCTATGCCTATTTCCATGTTATCCCTGTACTTTTTTAGATGTCAGTTTACTTAGTGCCTGTACCCTGTCACAACTGTTGATCTTTCAATCTGGTCCTCTGTCTTTATTGACATTCTGATTCCTCTACTGACACGCCGACAAGCAAATTTGTGGCGCTGCAGGAGGGTTCCGTTCCAGAATCTAGAGGGACATCGAGAGCAAGAGAACGCCCCTTGAGAGAGGTGGTGGGCCCGATGACGGAGAGCTGTCAGTAGCCTTCGAGAGCGTTTTCCACAGACTATGCAGCGCAGGCGAGTCTGACGGCCATGTTTTCTTGGTGGATGCCTGGTTACACGGTGCACTGAAAGAATTATGTGGCTTGAAAAAGTGGTAAAGGGACAGACAGGGCAAGAGTATGACTTTAAGGGGACGATGAGAGACCGAAGGCCTCTAAACCTTAACCGCCCTGCACGCCATGTGCTTCCACCTACATTTAAACCAAGCCCTCCTCCAGTAAACTTGGCCCATTTCAGCTGAGCTATCCACTTCTTTCGCTTTAGCTGCTGCTGAAGCCTGCACTTCTTTCGTTTTAAATACATACGCCTTCTAGCAATTTCATAAGCACTGAATCCAGTCATCAACTGCATGCTACTAGCCAGTTTATATTTTTTCTTTCTTTTTTTTTTCTTCCTTTGTGTGGCATCTCCCTGGGCCTGAGGGCTTTGCTGTAGATGTTGAGACTGCATTGAAAAAGGGTGCTGCTGTTGCTGGTGGTGATGAGAGTGCTGGGGTGGCGAAATGTGGATATGGGGTGGAGTGGAATGAAGGGTGTTACCTGGTACCCCTGAATAAATTAGCTGTTTCCCGCTGATTGGCTGTTGAAGCTGGAGGGGACCCATAGTGGGGTTTGAGTAGTGCAGATGTTGGGGATGTGAATTGACATTTGAACTGTGATGTCCTGACTCTGGAGTGTAAAAGAGAGGAGAATAACCAGCAGGCTGAGGGTGCTGTGTGTGAGCGATGGTTGAATGGGGCTGTTGTACTCCATGACTTCCACTTTCAGGTGTTATATGAAGGAGGGCATTGGTTGCAGCCTCACTCTCAGAGACAGATGGGGCAGTTCCAATAGATTCACTTCCTGTTGGTTGTGTTGTTGGCCCAGTACGAGTCAAACCGTGTTGAGATAATCTATGTCTGGTCAGGCTGTTGGAGTAAGAAAATGCCTTACCGCACACTTCACATGAAAACAGTTTCTCCCCACCATGTTCATGAATGGCTTGGTGATGGGCAGTTAGGTGGAAGTGATGGCGGAAGGATTTCCAGCAAATCTCACATGTATATAACTTAGGAGGGGGTTGGTTGCTTGTGTTAGCATTAGATCCTTGAACTTTATCCTGAGAATAGGAGTAATAAGCGCCAGGGTTGGTTTGATTAGTTTGATTGGTTTGATCAGATTGATCTTGATTAGCAGGGCCCCCTTGATTTGCAGCAGATTTGGTTTTACTCCGCCTCGGCTTGAAATCTCCCCGTAGATGCAGTTTTTCATGCCTTTTTAGACTCTGTGCATATCCAAAATCTTTTCCACAAAGGGTACATTTGTAGTTCTTCTCCCCCGAGTGAACAGTCTGATGTTTGGTAAGATGAAACGGCTCTCGGAAGTCTTTACCACAGATGTCACAATGAAATGGCTTTTCCCCTGTATGCACACGTTCGTGCCGACGTAAGGTCTCACGTCTACTAAAGCCCCGTCCACAAACAGTGCATAAATAAGGCCTTTCAGAACCATCTCCAGCAGCACCGCTCTGATTGCTTCTCCGACGTTTTACTCCTTCTCCTGGAGCCCCACCAGGTCTCGGCTCTCTTTTCTGTCTTGGCTTTCGTGGCCGCTTGGGTTTGGCATTAGGATTGTTGGCATTCTGTGAATTAGGCTGTTGGGTAGGGTGAGATAAAGGTATCATTGAACCACTCAGGCATTCTTCATTCCCACCATTTCCTGTAGATGTAGACGAAGAGGCACCCATAGACCCAAAGCCAAGCCCTCCTAACAGACCTCCAATAATGTCTCTCCGTTCCTCTCGTCCCCCAGTACTATTCATTTCAGCAGGCAAGACAGAGGCGGCAGCAGCTGCAGCAATGGCAGACATGGCACTACTGGTGACTTCATCTTCAGAGTCATCCAAAAGAGAGGAGAGAGGAAGATGAGATTGCTGTTGGTGATGGTGCTGCTGATTTTGAGGGTGTGGATGAAGTGTTGGGGCTAAAGGAGCTTTTCTAAGCGCCGGACTTGACATGCTGTTGCTACAGGAGTCTCCAGAGTAGGATGATGGGTTGCCCTGTTGACGACGGTAGTCATCAACCCTGTATGACGTTTGGTAAGGATCTCTTGAATACTCAGGGTTATACTTTTCTTCAGTTTTGCCCACAGGATTTTGATTAGCACTTCTTCCTTGTGAATACAGACTGTCACAAGACATCCCTGCTGTGCTTTCCTCATTCTTGCAAAATACTAATTCTTTTGAGTCAGTCATTTGTCCACCTGAAAAATCACTTTCAACTTTGCCCTCTACTGAACTTATTGAGCTACCATCACTGCTTCTAGACCTCCTCCCTGGCTTGCCACAGTCACCTGATGCAGCATGGTTAAGCAAAGAAGTACTCTCTCTAAAGCAGCGGCCACAAGCAGGGCAGCGGTAGGGCTTCTCTTCGTGAATTTTCTCATGTCGAGTGAGAGACTCTCTGCGGTTGAACGAACGCTCGCAAACAGAGCATGCATATGGACGAGCTCCAGAATGGATAATGCCATGTTGAAGCAGGTGTCCTCTCTTCTTGAACCCCTTTCCACATTCATTGCAACAGTATGACTTATCTGGACTTGGGCAAGTGGAAGACATGGGGTCTGGATTTTCATGCTGGTGGTGAGCATTTTGAGAAATTCCATCTTGTGTTGAGTGGGGGAGATCTGACTGATGCTGATGACTCGGGTTTGTGTTTGTGCTGCTGTTGGGACGACTGCCATCTTCTTCATGGCAGCGTATGTGTCGACGAAGGCTTGGGAGGTGGTTAAAAGACTTGCCGCACTCTCCACAATGAAAGAGAGGTTCTTGCTCAGGCTGTGTGATATTGGGAGTCATTGATTGCTGGTTTTCAGGCTTGGGGTTTTGAGAGATATTTGATACCAGCACAGAAGCAGAGTTTGAAGATGGGGCAGAGGAAGAAGAGGAGGAGACAGTTGAAGAAGAGGAGGATGGTGTTGATGAGGAGAGGATGGAGGAGGGGTCACCACCAAGACCCCTCATTCCAACCCCTCCACCTCCTCCCACAAGACCAGAGGACCCATCATGACCATGTGCCCCAGAGCTGCCATGACAGTTAGCACTGCTTGTACTGCTGCTACTGTTACCTTCTGCCTTCCTCTGGGGCAGGTAGCCAGCCATGGCTTTCTTTCTCCTGCTGCCACTACCTCCACTTCCTCCAGCCCCAGATCCACTATCTCCTTTGCCATCATCTTTTGGTATGGAGAGATGGAGTGGGAGTGGCAAAGGCAGGCCTGCTTCTTGTTGCATTAGGGAAGCCAGTTGATTAGACGAAAGAACAGGAATACCTTGGAAATCAAAACCACCAAGTGGTGATGGTTGGGGGGCAGGGTGTAGAGGGTGGTGTGGATGGGCATGGCTGTGAGGGTGGGACAACGCATGAGGTGGCAGCTGCTGCTGCTGTTGTTGGGGCTGGGGAGTTGGATGGCCATGGGTGTGGGAAGGATGAAGGGCTGGAGGAGGAGCAAGACCTGTATTCGAATCTGCAAGACCTAGATGATTATGGGGACCCTGCTGAACTAGAAACTGTTCCAAACTGGCATTTGTGGGCACTCCAGAAAACAGGTATTGGTTTGCAGCGAGCATGCAACTGAACTGCTGGTGTAAACTTCTTGCATCAGACTGGGCTCCGACTAATCCAGCCACTGAGCTGCTACTGCTGGGTGGATTATTAGAAGTGGTGGTTGAACTCGAAGGGGAGGGGGATGACGAGGATGGTCCAGGAGAAGGCTGAGGAACAGAGAGACCAGGGTGCAAGGGTGGTGGTGGTGGCGCAGATGTTACAACTCCTCCAGTACTTCCTCCAGCAAAATCGAAACGCCCCATTCCTGAGTGAAGCTGCTCCTGGGCTAGCGCAGCCTCAGCAGGGTGAAATGTGCGTAGAAACTGTGGATAGCCAGAGGCAGAACTGCCACTCCCACTGCCGCTGCTCATCTTGCTTGATTTGCGTGTGCTTTGTGACGATGAGGACTGAGTTTGTTGTGGAAGAGGTGGAGGGGGCGCACTCATTTTGGCAAATAAGGATGAAGAATCTGCAAATGCATTACTTCTAGATCCTTGAAGGGAACCAAGTCCAAGCCCAGACAGGAGGCCACCAGATGCCTCACTTTGTTGTTGCTGCTGCTGTTGAAGCTGCTGCTGGTGCTGAAGTTGGACCTGTTGTTGGTGCTGCAGTTGTCTTTCCAGCCCCAGTCCTTTGAACTGGTGAGCCTGGTGTCCACTAAGCATTTCTAAAATGTCCATAGGGTACTTTCCAAACTGAAACATCTCCCTCTCACTGTAGAGGGGCGTTTTTAGGATTTTTAATCCCTGTTCACCTGGTACTGCAGCAAAGTGGACAACGTAATCTAACCTAAAATATGTGGAGAAAAAAAATCTGCCACTAGGGCCACTAATAATTAATATAAAGCTTTAAAGTAATCTGCTAGCAGCTCCAGTTTTTAGAAAGCAATGTCTGTGTGGGAGTAATTTGTCTGATGTTGTGACTGTCCATCCCAAACAAACAGAGTTTTGACTATAGTAATGGGCCACTACACGTGAGAAAATCTGGAAGTCTTGGATTAAATAATAATCTATAAATAAGAAAAAAAGTTGGTTTACAATATCATGCAATAAACACAGGTCTGCGTTGGTCTTCCAAATGACTATATCTACAATTAAAACAGTAAAAACATGTCTAATACTACCATATGAAATATGTTTTTACAAAATGTGTTTATCACTAAAAAGCAAATCCTTTAGTGTTGAAAGCCATTTAAAACAGAAGCGATGAGAGAATGTCTGCCTGCCTTGCTATTTGTGTATTCCTTTGACAAGTTCTGAATAAAATGGTTCCACTTTGTGACTTCTCAGAAATGTCCTCATTTAAAGAGAAAATTGTGGTGAGCAAATTTCAATCGTTCAAGTCGGGAGTTAAAAGGTGACAGGTTAGATAGTCCACAGAGTCTATTCAACCTTTGTCTTTAACACCTCAGCTGGAGAGACCACAAACACAGCACAGTGGTATGACCAAGTAGTTCTTCTCTCTTCTGTGGGCACCCTGTCAGTCCTTCAAAAAAAAGATAGAGAGAGAGAGATCAAAAATAGTAAGGCTTTCAATCAAAGGATCTATATTTCAAAACAAAAGATGGTACAATCAAGACATGAGAAGCAATGACTCACAAAGCTAAGGCACAGCATAACTTTAAACCAATCCACAAACCAAATAATACCTTTCTATCTCAAAACAATCCTAAAGATGAAGATAAAGATAAAAGTCATATACACAACAAGTTAAAACAATTATAATAAAATAATTCTAACAAAAAGAAGAATGAGCAATTCTATGGACACTCCCCAAAGGATTTTCCTGCGGTATTGAAACTGGTATTGAGTATCATGAAACTGTCTACAATTCATTCACACATTCCAATCCAGACTGATACACTTGAGTGTCAATTTTAAATCCTTATATCAAAGTAAACAGAAAGCACAAATTTCACAGTTTTGCAAGTTAATAAATAAATAAATAAATAGGGTCATGTCAGGTAAGACACTTAACATTGAAATGGCTGTTAAAAAAATGCCCAATTTACCTGATTTTATTTGAATAAATAAACAAATGATCAAATAGGGTATTTTCAGGTAAACTAGAATACCTTTCGACATCGAGATCACTTCCAAAAAGTAGGGATGCGCGATATATGGGGCAGAGTATCGGCATCGGCCGATATATGTTAATTTTATGATGTTATCGACTCGATAATAAAATTTGAATTGATATATTAAAGCCGATTAATAATGGATTATTTCCTTCAGCTGAGCCTGAGACACTTCAGAAGCTCAATGTTCGCCATGATGATTCTGATTTGCTTGAATTATGATTGGAATCACTTGAAAAGGAAAATACAGTTAAGAGCAACATGTGCAGCTTAAGTCTATCACATAGGCTAGGCTACATAAAATTATAACGAAAACACTACTGTAAAAGAATGTTGTGAACTCTTTGTACGTACGTTTTAGCGCGTTGTTACGGGAAGAGCGCATCCACAATGTAGTTACACCTTCATGACTAAGTTCACTTGAGCATTTGCGGCCTTTTGTTTTGTGCAATTTTAAGTTAATATGTTTATTTTGTGTATATATATCGGATTTATCTCATATAGAGATGCGTTTGGTTAAGAATTAACGCGGTAATAAAGCGCGCCGTTGATCATCTTTAACTTCAGCGCACGCAACTCATTAATAACATAGGGCCACAACATTAATAACATAGGGCCCCACGATTTCTGCAATGCGGAAAACGCGGACGGAATCGTAGAATTCAGTGATAAAAATGAAATTTTCTGTATAATGCGGAATCACGGAATTTGTCAAATCTTTGTCAGTAAACTTAAATCAAATCGCAATATGGACTAATATCAGTGAATATTAAGCTGCAAAAGACCATTTAAATATGAATCCTGCATTCTGTGTCTCTTTGTGAATGAATGGCGCAGATGTGCAGTTTCGTCTAATACACATACACTCACGGTGTTTTCAGCCTCTGCCGTAAAAACATGAACTTCATCTCCAGAGCAGCAGAGCTGCTTTGAGTCACTTCATGAGCATTTTACCATTTCATTTGAGAAAAAAACGATCATCATATCATAAACATACAGAAACTTTAAGGTCATCACGGCAACCCATAAAATAGGATTTCCGGTTTAACTTGAAGAAATTTTTTACATAAATAGGCTATATTACTACTGTACAGTAGAATGTCTTATATGCCGTAATGTAGTAGTAATAATAAATTATTATTAAAACTTTATTTTTTAAGGAATAATAAATGTTTCTTCCATGTTTTCATTTGAACAGTAAACCTCTGTTGTGCAGCACTTTGTTTGCCAAAAAAATGATAGGTTTAATTTTAATTTGATAATATTTCATAGGACCCTATTATGTAAAATAAAATAAAAAATAAAGTTGTTTTTATGAATTCAATTGATTAGACATGCTTGTTTAATAAAATGTTATTAAACCATTACAATGGAATCCATGAAAATTAAAATTTCATAGGGCGCTAATTTTTTTTTTGCTTTGGGTTAATAATTTAACCATTAAAATTGAGTCCAGAAAAATTAAAATGGAGAAAAAGACGGAATTTGGAAAAAACCTAAATAGATTTCATAGGGCCCTATAATCAACTTTCCTAATTAAGCCTAGATTGCATCAACCTTATCTTTTGTGTTAAATAATCATTAAGTTAAAAATTCATATATAGATTAGTTGCGATTATTATTTATTGGTAAATTAACCAAAGGATTAATTAACTTTTTAGAAAAAAATGGATAGATTACCACGAGGGAAAAATTATCGTTAGATTGTTGGATTAATCGATTAAAAGAAAAGAAAAGCAATAATCGTTAGTTCCAGCCCTAATAGTAATACTGACAGACCAAACCATAATGCATGACGTCTGAGGGCTAAGCCAAATTACATGTTACCAGTTTAAAATCAGTATAAGGATATCAGGTCCATTTAGGCCTGCGATGAACTGTGAAAAAATGTTTATATTAAATATTATAGCAAAAAAATTATATTATTGTTTATTGAACTATTATTCATTACTTAACAGAATTAATAACCAGGCAAAAAAGTAAACAGACTGTACACATTTTACACACTCCAATCATTTTTTTGACCACTGGTTGTTTTACTCAATGTAATAAAAAAAATCACACAGATTCACACTTGTACAGCACGTTTTCAATAAACAAACAAGTTAATTGCAGACAAAAGTGACCGAATTTGTCTACATTCACCTTGAATTTTTTTAAAGACAGCTAGACAAATAAATACTGTAACACTTTACAATAAGGTCTAATTTGTTAACATTAGTTAATGTATCAACTAACAACAACTAACAATGACCTGAACATTTGTTAGTGTTTATTAATCTTTGTTAATGTTAACCAATACAGCTTTTGATTTTACTAATGTATTACTAAATGTTGAAATTAACAATGTTGATTGAATTAACATGAACTATGAATTAATTCTTAGTTCATGTTAACTAAACTAGTTAACTACTGAAACCTTATTGTAAAGCGTTACCGTAAACACTTAAGTAACGTTATAACCACACCAGTCAAAACATTCACTAGTTAAATCCTCAAATGTGTCAAAATCAAGTCATTATACCCGTCAAAAGTAAATAAGATACAACTAAAACACTGATGTAAACAAAAAGTGCCAAATAACTCTTAACAAGAGAACGCATGGGGAGAAAACAATACTCAGATACATAGAGGGTGAAACATGAAAACCTGAGCTCAGCAAATGACGACACCATGTCAACATCACTGACAAAATCTGCATGCAGTTACAATTAAACTCCAGTGTAGAACTGAAATTAAACTTACCAAAGCCTCTGCAGGTTGAAAGAAAAGCGCTGATCCGCGATATTTGTGTTGACTGTGAAGGGGATGAGGGAGAGGGGGAGAGCCGAATTCCCTTTCTCAATCACATCCCTCTATGGCAGACCAAAAAGTTTCAAAATAAAAATTAGAGCAAAATCAGAAATGTTAAATTTACAAACAATTTGGCATTATCATGCATGAATTTAGCATAAATATACGTATGCTACTCGTTGCGTAGGGGCCAACTAAATGACAGAAAAACATAAACATAAACAAGAAAGTGACTGTGAGTGCAGACAGCCCGTCATATGAATTCAGGCTATAAGCCCACTTCACTCTGCTAGCCTCTTAGCTAGCTAAATAAAGACGTCGTACCCTTTTACATCGCAACAGAATGCATTCAAAAGCTTTGTTATCACACCTGCTCGTGAACGGAGTAAGTCCTCTCGAAGAGCAAAGCGTGAAAATAATAATGCTAAAAAGGGCGCCGAAAGCGTAGATGTGCACAAAGGCGGTATCCGATTTCAGGTTAGCAGGTCATTTTTCCCCATCCCGTGGAAAAACACTCTCGCAGGCCTCTCCATCGCTTTCGATCCGTTAAACAAACCCCAATTTCCGCTGGCTGCGCTCGCTAACGTTCAACCTCACGCGATATCATTTTCGTCGTAGAATTGCGACCGAAACTGCTCCTCCCGTCCGTTTTCCGCAAAATTTTTTGCGGATTATGGTCGGCCAAATATTTTCCGCCCCGTGTCAATTTTTAGTGCCCCCGTCTTCCTTCGGGTACTTCTGTTCGCCTCACAGTGGTCGTTTCCGGGCAGTGATATAAGTTCCGGGTGGTGTTACATGTTAAAACGTCCGACATTGTCATGCTTAGCACAAGAGAATGTCAGCACACTGTAACCAGTATGTAATGAAGTGGGGTCAAGAAAGTTTTTTTTTTTTGTTCATTCACAGGTTCATTCTATTATGCATTAGGATGACAGGGTAATGGCGTGTCATTTTAACAAAACATCCTGAATTGTGTAATTGTCGGCATGACGTGGTCTCGTAATGTTATTAACGGTTTAGAAAACCAGTGCCAAAAAAAAAACAACAACAACAAATGGCGCGTCCTAAATATGTTACTTCTGTGACGTAGTAACACATTGTCAAAGCACACACTTCACGAGCTGCCGCGCGAGACTTAAAAACATCACATTTCATCTCTCTCTCGCGCTGCGCACTGACTGATACAAAATAGCCAGTCAGAACAGCTGTTCCACACATATGCGAGCCAAAGTAATTAGAACAATTATTTCACCTTGAGAGGGCGCGCGGTGCATTTTAGACTGCACATATATTTTGGAAAGGATTGCAGTGCACAGCACCTCTCTGAAGCCATTTTACCAACATGCCGCCGCCGCCGCCGTCTCCCCCCCGCGCCACCCTACCAGAACATAAGGTCCTCGCCCACCCTGCCCCTCAAAATGGCGAATGCCGGTGATGGCTCGTCCGTCTCCCTTAGGAACCATTTAAGAACCTGAAACGTCCCATTTTAGATTAATAAACATGAACTGAAAACGTGTTTGGCAGAGAACAGTTATAATTCACACTACAGCAATATAAAACTATAGCAGTAACAAACAAACAATATATATATATATATATAGTTTATATAAAAATGAGTTTAAACCTAATATATATATTAGGTTTAAACTAATTTTTAGACCAGATATAAAGAAAATGAAAAAAAAATTATGAATGCAGGATAATGGTAAATTGAGATTTATGGGAATGTAAATGTGGGGAAACAATTTCTTAGATTACATCAGCGATTACATTATTATTATTAATTAATTAATTCTCTTTCTTTTTCATTGTTAATCTAAAGCATTCTACACTAGTCAAAAGTAGCTAAAGCGAGTTGCATCCACTGGTTGTTTTGCCGATGTAAACAAACAATTAGTCTAATACAAGAGTGGCTAAAAATACTCAGCACATTATATATTGAGATTTAAAACAAATCTCAAAAACATATACAAGTAAAAACCAACCAACATATTTCATGATTCATGAGAAAAAGAACACGTGTCAATCTCCAGAAAACAACTTCTTTCTTAATGGCGAGAATTTTATTTAAAAAATAATAATTAAAGTTTTTGCTGTAGATATTTTATGCATGGCATTGTGGCATTTTCCCCCATAAAATTTACAACAAGGTTTATGTATTTCATGGCAAGAAACATATCTAAAAGAAAAGAAATAATCCTGAAAAAAAAAATTAAATAAATTGTGGTTGTTTATTCTGTTTTTCATAACTTTGGTGAATGCAGCAATTTTTTTAATGATTTGTTTATTTTTTGCATTCAAAGAGACACTCACTTAAAAAATAAAATTATATTTTGGGTTTTCTGAAATGCACATTCTCTGATTTCACACAAAGCAAAAGTCAGATAAAATGCGAGATAAAGCATTCCAAAATAGACACTGAAATACACACAAGCACACAAATACAGACACACAAACTGGACACATACACACCTTGACATCAGAAGTCAGCAATATGACATCATCAACACTGGCTTTGACATCTTCATGCGTTTTGTCTTTTCACTATGATTGCATCTGCTTTTTTGTTGAGTTACAAAGGTTAGAATCCACTATAAACTCAAATATAATCAGAAAACAGGAATAAAAACAATTTCTAAAGTCACAGAAAAAAATAAAACAAAACAATGATAATAATAATCAATAATATGAATAATATCGATGACTATATATATTTATATATATATGCACGTAAATTGGCATGTGTACATATTTGAACATTCGGGATTCAATTCAAATTTTTTTTTTTCCTTTTTCAACATATTTAACTTCAGTTTTATTAACAAGTTAATAAAAGCTTAAACATTGCAGAGTGGTCTAAAATACTATATTATGGCCCAATAATCTTGCTCAGCCAGGTCGTTCTCAGACATTCCACCACAACAGTGTCCATTTGATGTGGAGACAGCTGAAAAACACACAGAAATCGCTAACAAAAAAGACATTTTTCTTGAATATAATATAGATAAACAAGACAGCTTTTACTCCTAAATCCTAACTCATCGGTTAGATAATAATGCATCTTAGTGTGACACAGAGTGTTGAAGTAGCTTTGCAGATTTTGTTCTATTTTTCTGTTTTGTACACTCATTGGCATGTAGCCTCTATGTTCCACACAGCCGTGCCACGGGGAAAGATAAAAAGCCGTAAGAGCACGGAAGCACAGACACACATGAAGAAGTTTCAGAATAGCCCTTGGATTAAATTGTCCATTGTATAACTAAACCCTTTCCCCAGTCCCCCTCAATACAACAGCTTGAGTTGCAAATTAAGTGTGAAGACTATGCGGTCTTATTTGACATACTGCATGCCCATGATTAAATCTCAGCTCTTAACACTTAACAGAACAACTCCGGAACGTTTGATGCCGTCATACGAAGCTATTCTCTGACTGGTCAAACATGCAAGAAAGAGGCATGACTTCTATCAGTTTTGAATGGCTGACATCGGTTACCAAATGTCTGTCTACTCAAACATTTCTGACCTGATTTACCCATCAATCTGACAGCCTTTTGATTATATTATAAAACAGCCAAAATGTTATCCACAATGCAAAAAAGTATTCATGTCAACTTTGATTCACAGTCTTGAGTATAAGATGCTAAAAATCTCTGATCAACAATATAACACCCGTTTCCCAATGAAAATGTTTTCCTCCATTGTATTCCATATGAATAAGCTCTAATATGGCTGATGGCATTTGGACTCATATTAACAGTGCAGACTAAAGAGTCAGGTCACGAAACGAGTGACATTTTTCAAGTTCCAAGTTCTTCTCTCTGACGATTTTTACGTACCAGCATTTTCTGCGCTTGATGGCAAGTCACAGTCCATTTCCAAGTCAAGTCAAATCTGATTTGAGAACGGTCAAATCATAGTTTCCGTGAGGTAATTCAGGACACTATTGGACATTTGTCAGTTTCATCCGGTATATCTCATTGTTCTCTTATTTTACTGATGAAGGTGACACACACCTACACCTCTTTGAGAATGACACTTTGGCAAACTCTGAGGCAAGGTCAACTGCTGTCATTGGATTCAGAAAAAAGTAACCCCTAAACCAATTGGCTTTTACATTAGTTGGAATGCACTAACTAGAGAAAAAATGGCCTATTCTAATAATGAACCTTTTCACTTTTGTGTCTCCTCAGATCATGTCTGAATGGTGCCATCATGACACTATTTGCTACACACATGTCAGAGGAAACCTGAGTCCCTCTTCACTTTTCTGTTTGTTGAGATATGACAATTTAGGGATCTACAGAATCACTTAGGGCATAGTCTCATATTCTCATATTCCTCTTTCTTTCAATAGTGATACACTGTGTATTCTCTTCAAATGGGCCTCATTCCTGACCACCTTCTTATCTCCTTCCTCTTTTTCATTCTTCTGCCTTTTTTTTCTCCCCTTCCTTCGGCTTGCGCAATCACACCTCATTTATCCATCTCCTTACCATCTTCCGTCTTTCTTTTTGCGCTCACACGGTTACTTCGTTCTTGCTCCCCGTCCTCAGCGCCTGACCTCCACCCCCGCCCCCTCCCCCACCTCCTCCGGGGAGGAAGTGCAGCTGTTCGATGGTGTTCTGGCGTTTGTTGGCGAAGGCCATCCGGCGAGCGCTGTGCGCCATCGCTCCAGGCCCTCCTCCGGAGCCGTGGACGTCCCCCCATCCCAAAGTCCCAGCCCCGTGACCCGACGACATTCCAGCGACCGTGTGGTCTTGCTCGCGGCCGGAGGTAGGGTGCGAATTCATTTTGATCATGTGATGGCGGTCGAGTGAGGGCGTCACGCACACGTTCTGCTGGGATTGCGCTTTCTGGTGGTAGGAGAGACGGGACGCGGTGGACACCATCCCGCTATAATCGGCCATCATTCGCTCTTCCAGGCGGTCTGGCGACACCAGGAGGCGTTCGTGAGACTTGCGCAAAGTCTGGGTATTGGAGCTCTTGCTGGTGGTCATGGGTTTGTAATACTGATGCTGCTGGTTCTTGGAGAGGCGTGAGAGAGTGTTCCCCTCCCCCAGTGCCAGAAGCTGGTCTTGGGACATCACCCGGCGAGGCGGTTTACTCATTGTGTCAAAGGTGGGGTTGTACTGTGTCTGGGGTAAAGGGTAGGGGTTGGGGGTGGAAGTGGAACTGGGCACATGGATGCGCGTGCGGGACATGTTTAGCGGTAGGGTTCCCCGGGCACCCAGTGTGAAGTCACCGCCCCAGGGCAGGTGGTGCTGGGAGGAGTGGAAGCTGGGTTGGGCGTTGTTTGGCCTTCGCTTGGAGGTGTAATATCCGGAATATTCATCCAGGTTTTTTTCTGTAGTTAGGAAAATGTAAAATAAATATCATTCATAAATTTGACCGTTTACACCTGGTATTGACATGCGTTTTAGTGATCAGACCGCATTAAAACAATGCACTGTTGTATGGGACAGATGTTGACCACATTTAATGAAGGTGTAACATTCACATGTGTTTTTGTTACTCGTATTCAGTTATGCAATGCAATGCAAAAAAAAAAAAAAATCACTTAAAAACACTGTGTTGCAGATTTGTAACAGATTGATAACACTTCACAATAATGTTCAGTTTTTGTACATTAAATCATGCATTAGGTATGATAAACTAACAATGACCGGCATTAATTCATGGTTGTTAATGGTAATTTCCTCATGTACTAAAACATTTTTTATATTTTAATACTTTATTAATATTTGAATATTGATGTAAATATTTGTATATTTTATAAACAATGAACAGTGAAGAATGAACATTTTTAAACTGATTTAATGCTTTATCTTTAGTCAATATCTGCTATTTTTTTTAGATTATTTCAACAAACTACAGAGTTCATAAAAAAAGGAAATGCAAGAAATGATGAACAGCATTCAATTGAATTATCCATGAATGCTTATTAAATGTATTTAATTCAATTGAATGAATATAATTTCAGCTTAACATAACCTCTCTTGTAATATGTCAATGGTGATTAGCGTTTTGTGCTGGTAAGTGAGATCGCACCGCCCGATCACACTGGAGTTGCATTGAAGGTTTAAAATGTTACCCGACTAAAAATATCCAGATATGAAATGTATGTTAATGTTAGGTATAATAGGGGCCGATCCCAACGCTTTTTAAAAAGCCATTTTTAACCGTAGGTCAACATTCTGATGTAGTCATTTCTAAATTCTTTCAATTATAGTTTTCAGGCAGTGATTGAATATGACTGAATATGATCAATAGAAATATTTGAAATAAAATAATATGAATTGTATATACAATAAAATGATATGTGCAAAAACTATCCAATGCCACAGAGCATCCTTCCTAAAAAAAAGTAACAGTTGACCGCTTGCTACACTCTCTCACAGAGACCCACTGAGTAGTAGCAGCAGCGTTGAAATTACACACTCTCTTTTTCAGACACACACTCACCTAGTCTCTTGAGGGAGCTGTAGCGGTTAAGCTCTGGTTTCATGGCTGTCTCGTATGATGGAGGTAGCTGGGCAAGGTTGTGGAAGGAGTGAGAGAAGGAGGGGTGAAAGCCAGAATTATTGTGCTTGCTGGACATCAGTGTTCCTGTGGAGACCAACTGGGTGTTGTTCATGCGTTGAACTCGCTCTAAGAGTGGAGAACAAAGAAGAATAAGACAAATACCAACAACCGATGTGTTCAAAGCATATCTATCTGGGTCGAATGTAGAATATATGGGTCTAATTAAATGTGGGTGACTGGAACACTGAAGCTTTGCCCCAATTCTCTAAATGACAAGGGAAGATGTCTAAGAATTACTTACAATGCAATTGGAACATTTGTGTGCCTAGCCTACTGTTCATCGCTTCACTTTCCCTCTAAATTTAATATATCCTCATGTAATGATAATATCCTTATTCATGTAGTAATTTGTTCCACAGACACTTTTTACTTACAGTAATTTGCCGTACACATACTACAGAGAACGTCCCCCTGGAGCAACCTTGGTTTAAGCACTGCAGATTAAATGTAGTCAAGGACACAGTGGTCACATGGGAACTCAGCAATTCTCTAGTTCATAGATCATCCTTGCTGAGATTTAAACTTAAATACCTTGGAGTTAGAGTCCGGTTCTTTAATCACTAAACCTAATTCATCATGGCATATGCAATATGTGCTTTTTTGACCCATGAAGTTAAAAGTTAAATGCTTTTTAATATTGTTGCTATCTATCTATCTATCTATCTATCTATCTATCTATCTATCTATCTATCTATCTATCTAGAATAACTAAAAAATGTACATTATACAAAATGTGTTGATGAACAAAATTCCTTATTTGGTTTTACACCCCCACCCCACACCACACCAACCCTCAAGGTCACAAACACTCCAAAAATAACAACAACAATAGTTATAATAGGAAAAAACATCTGAAAATGCCAATACCATAGACAATATATCTATCTATCTGGTTTGTGAGCCATGAATTCAAAGAAATTCAGATAGATAGATAGATAGATAGATAGATAGATAGATAGATAGATAGATAGATAGATAGATAGATAGATAGATAGATAGATAGATAGATAGATAGATAGATAGATAGATAGATAGATAGATAGATATTTTTTCCACTGTGAGTACCTGGACACAAGTTGCAATCCACAGCATCAGGACTTTTTTCTCCCAATCTATTGGTTGAATATCATATTCATATACTGTATATACTGCAATAAATATGAATATAATATTATGCATAAACATGAAGAAAAAACTTTTTTTCTTCATGAATTTTTTTCTTCATGATATTTGGCATTCTGCTTATATGCATGCCAACACAGTTACTGAAGCTTTGCTGACTGGTGCAAACAGTGCTGGGTGCAGGACAAACAACAAGAAAATAGCTCAGGGTAGCGACAGAGTGGGAGGGCACGCGCAAACACACTCGAACCAACTAGACCAGGCCAAAGCAAAGGCAGTGACAAATACACACAGACAAAACTGAAGCTTTCTTACTGGTGCTCTCACACAAGCAACACATTTGCACACTCTGCCTAAGCTCCTTGGCTTACCCATTGTAGTTGTGTGTTTAGGACTGGACCCAGTCTGGCCAAAACTGTGTTTCCCAGCTGCAAGAGAGCAAAGTGAACACCGACCCACTCCCAGTTCATAAAATACATTTGAGGCCTATATGCACATTTAATCTTAGAAACATGGATATTGGTTGACCTGTCACCACAATTTTAAGAATTTCCCGAATGTCTATCAGCACAGCAAGTGAAAAACACAATGCGATGTGTAACGCTCCTGTTATAATGATTGAAGCAGTCTAAAGCAGTTTTGTCATGCTGTACCACATCGCTTACTTGCAATGCAGTCGTACTACTTTGTCAATAATGGTGAAAACAATTATATGCAAATATTCTAACAACTGATTGGTGCCACTAAAATACTCTCACCACTGATTGGAAAGACCACCTGTGGCACATTCAAACTGCGTGTGTTCCATTTAGCAAATGTAGCCAAACATTAAAAACTTGAGAGTGGAAAAAGGCAATTCAACACAAAATGGACCGAATCCTAGAATGAGCATTTATGAAATCATGGCTAGCCAACACAGGCATAGACAATGAGCGTTGCATCCCCATAATATTAATTTATTATCTTTTTTTTTTTTTTTTCAAGACTGGTAAAATTGTACTTTTGGTTTCCACAGTTTTAAATAGTTGGTTAAATCCTTGAGATTAAATAGGTTTTTTTCTTTTCTTACATATGAATTTAAAAATTTGAAGATTTGAAATTTTAATTTTATGCATTTATATATACACTACCATTCAAAAGTTTGGGGTCAGTAAGATTAAGAAATGAATACTGTGACTATTTATTTAACAAAGATGCATTAAATGAATCAAAAGTGACAGTAAAGTTAATGTTACAAAAGATTTAAAGTATATTTCAAATAAGTGCTTATTGAAGTGCTTATTGTTTCTATTTATATATATATATATATATACACACACACACACACATAGTTGTAATCAAAATTATTGGCAAAATTTACAGACTTTCAGCTGTTTGCAATGAACAAATTAAACAAAAGTAATTGAAATAGCTCAACACAACACATTTTTTTTATGAGGTTTGCCAAAATTTAACAAAAAATGCAACTTTAATGCAAATGCAAATTTAACTGAAAATGCAACTTTTAATGACTTCTGCTAGCCTGGCTAACGTCAGACCACGTCTCATTGACATTGAGACGTGGTCTGGGAACCACATGTTCATTTTCTCGTATTTGAGGCGTGGTTTACGAATGCCCAGAGCCGTTTATTGAGTGCTACGAATGTCTATCAAATGCGCCTGTACGTAGCTCATAGCCAATCGTTTCAATTATACCAGATGACGTATGTAGAGAGAATGAAATTAGACGAGGAAGAAGACGATGGGTCAGAGATTTATTTGTGTTCTAAACTACTTAGAACAATATCTAAGGCTGCATCGAAAGGTAACTTCGCGTCTGCTGCCATGTTTGATCCATAGGTATAAACAAACTGCTTCGGTGCATCGGTGCATCGCATAGACGTAGTCATCGTCTTGCTGCTCCCTCCCCATTCTGTGATTGGTCCCCTCGCTGAGGTGAAAATTTGGTCCATGGTATCCAGACTGCCTAGCAGCGTGAATAAAATCGCGCTGCGCAAAGGCAGTATGGGGAAACCCAGGCTAGACTTCTGCAGTCTCAAAATTATTCAACCACTTCATGGCAAGCATCTTAGAGGATGCAAAGCAGCCCCAGAGCATCACCGAGATTCTATTGAGGGAGTTAAATAATTTTGAGACTGCGGAAGTCATTAAAAGTTGCATTTTTAGTTGGATATGGGGAAACCACTTGAAACATTTGTTGTGTTGAGCTATTTCAATTACTTTAGTTTGATTTGTTCATTGGAAACAGCCTTTGAAAGTCTGTAAATTTGGCCAATTAACCGGATTTGCAATGGGGGTTGAATCATTTCGATGTGTGTGTGTGTGTGTGTATATATATATATATATATATATATATATATATATACACACACAATTAACTGAATGCACTGCACAGCACTCTTTAAATCAGTTGAAAATCAAGTATCACAACTAATACCATATTTTACCAGACATTTTATTAATTGGCCCCTGATTACTCCGCACTTTCTAAAAGTGCTGCATACTTTAAGTATCTCTGTTATGGATGTTGGTCAATCCTTTACTTCCTTTACTGCTGCTCTCTTTGCATGTGGTTATTACATAGCATCTTTTGTCTCTGAAGCAAGATTAATGTGACTCATTTCTGACACATCCTCTGTTCTACATTACCTCATACACTCAGGCTTTTCAATCTGTCGACTAAATCATGCCTCCAGACTTCATTTCTATGCTGTTGATTAATTCAAGCGCCTATTTCTCTATATCAGCTCATTCATTCCCCTGCAAGTTTATATACGTTGCATACATCCATTGTTTCCTTTGCTTAATATTTTGCTGTTATTCGATCTATAACTCTTATGTGTGGGTGAGATAGACTCACTTCGGTTATCTTTGCTCTGGAGGGCAGGAGTGTAGAAGTTTTTCAATGGCCGCCCCAGTGTGCCCTCACTGGAGGTGGCGGTTGTTAGGACCGTGCTGTTGTTCCTCTCTCCTTGCTGGACCGGACTAGACTGGTGACGCAGAATGTCCACCAGCGCTCTGAAGAGAGAGAGTAAATAGTAAAAATGAAATATGAGTGTATGACGAAATCAAAAAGCAAAAGCTGAAAGAGTCTGACATCAAAATCACAACGAATCTCTTCATATGGCAGTCACTGGTGCAGACTCAGATGTGTACAGCACTGTCTCCTTCCACTTTGTGAGTGCAGTCATAATGGGCCTTTCACTCACCTAGGCATGTTGATGTCTCTATTCCTCGGTCGTCGAGACAGTTTATGGAAGGCCACTTTAATCCCAATGGCCACAGCCATGGTAAAAGAGATGACTCCCCCAATGACGTAAGCCGTGCTGTTGCTCTGTTGCTGCAGCGGGTCGAAATCTGGGTCGTGTCGGACCGGGGGATGAGTGACGGGTCCCGTCGTGACGGCCCAGTCAGGTGAGCGGTAATTATTGCAGGAGTCTTGGTCTAGACGGCTGCGCTGGTGCTCACAGCAGAAGCGATAATGGCAGGTGCCACAGCAGTATATGTAGGTGCCCCTGGTGCAGTTGAAAGTGTTGTCGAACTGTCCCATCACGTCGTAGTAGCCCTGACACACGTCCACGTCCACCAGTCGCCGAGGTGGAGGCGCCACCTGTGCGGCTCCCAGCGGGGGCTTCAGGGCATCGGCTGTTACATTGCGGGGTAGCATAATCTGCGGCAGGGGTCTTGGAGGGATCTCGGCTGCCTCTGGCTCTGCCGCCATTGCAGCAGCCTCCTTGTCCCGCATGTCAGGCTGAGGGACCTTGCGGCCACGTCCTCGCAACAGAAGCAACACCGGCCCCCCATTCACAGAGGAGCGTTCCGAGGTAATAGTCACTGTGGAGACCACAGGGCAGAACAGAAAGAAAAGCAAGATGGCAGCGGGTGGCATCTTGATACAGGGGACTTTTTTTTTATCAAAGATGAAAAAAAGTGAAGCCTTTGTACAAAAGACTACCGAGGCCTACAAAAAGCTGACGTCTATCAAAATTTGCAAGTCAATGTGGCACTATATAAGACATGTAGACAAGTTAATCTCTTCCACATGTGCATACACTAGTATGCAAATGATTTCATATGCAAAATACACATCCAAGTGCGGGAGTTCAGATGAAGAAAAAAGCATGAGACTCGCAGTTAGGGTGTAAACATATTTCTGAGGAAATTATTAACAAGAATGAGGTAAATCTATGTACAAGTTTTATGCTTAATGGGTGAGAGTTGGAATGCTTGAAAATGTTGATTTGGCACAAAATCAAATATTTGGAATCTTCTCAATGAGAAAATTCTATTAAAAAAACAACAGCTTTAGAAATATGACAATGAATAAAGTATTTGACTTTTGTTGCAAGCAATTTAGTTCTGTAAACAAAACGTATATTTTAACAATGTAAACTTTTTAAAGTGTCAAAGTCATGGGAACTTCCTCTTAAAGGTGGTTTTGTTTAAGTCTGTGTAACTGAACTGATCTATGGCACAAACAACTCATTCAAGACTCAATCTGAGTTCACCTTATGGGCAACATGTAAACATTTCTGTTTGAGTGTAAACTATATCTCACCAAATGCTCTTTATTCTGGTTGGCACTTCAGTTCTCGACTCACTAACCAACCAACCATATAGAAAGAAACAGTTAATACTACTCAGCTATTCTGTGTGATTTGTAAACAACTGTCATGGTCAGCTTCAAGAACTGATGTTGTCTTGTAAACAAATCTCAGTCGGTTGGCGCTTTAGGCTTTAATCATCAATGAGAATATCTTGCAAGACTAACAAGAACACCTTTCAAGGTCATTGAGGTTCTGTTGTGCGGTCCAAATTATCAAGCTAACAGTGTCAGTTCTCAAGAAAAATACTAAGTACTTCATCTTTTCGAGTTTCAGAAGGAAGTTATTGAGGCTAGAGATAAAGGTAGGACGAAGCGATGAAAGAGCAACTTTCGAGAGTTCAAGAGAAATGGGGAAGAGCTGATCTTTTTTCTAAAGGTGGCACCACGGAACAAAGGCTCATTACGAAGGCTTTGGAAGAGTGTAGGTCGGTTAGGGCACTCGCGAAGTGTAACAAGCAGCAGGTATATATTAGTTCCTGGCTTGACGACACAAGTCAGGCCAGAAAGGAAGAAGTGTTCAGGAAAGGAAGAAAGGAAATGGAAGGATGGACTGAGTCTAGGTAAAGGTTGAGGGTCTATGTGTGTTGGACCCTCTTGCGTGAGTGTCTCTGCTCTGGATTTAGCTCAACCCAACAGAATAAAACAAACGGGGGCTTGGGCCCAGTTCTGGCAGGACAGCATGGTTGAGCCCACTGAACAGGCATGAACAAGTCGGGATTCATCCGTCAATGTGGAACACGTGTGGACCGTCAACCAAACGCACCAAAAGACCTATCCTAAGTGTTAAAGAGCGTCTTTTCAAGTAGTGGGACAACTTTAAACGTCGTCCCACTGTCAACACAGTAAACGCGTCAATGGCTCGCTGGTGAATATGGCAGATTACGGAACGTCAAACCTGGACCACCGTCGAACATATAGACCTCGAAAAATATTCCTGAATATACCCATGCATCTGCTGTTCTAGAATGGTCAAGCCGAATCCTCTCAACGCTGGCAGGGATCTTGACGTTAGTATGGCTATGAGACGTATGGCTTCAGTATCTAAACCCTTCAGAGACTCCTGAGGGTTCTGCTCTAAATGTGCAGAGTCCGTAAAGGTGGGAGGAGCAAACGAGATGGATGACTAAAGAGATCTGATGGATAGGAAGAGTAAAACGGGCCTTAGTGAGAGGAACGGACGACTAATCAACAGAATTAGCAGCAGCTCACTTTGGAAAGTTTAATGAGGCTTGTGCCAGCCATCCATAAGCCCGTCCATCCATTGATCAATCGATCAGGAGCCGAACTCTCTCAGGCTAATGCATTCGTAACGGTCACTCTTACATAAAGCATGTTTAACCAATAATGCACTGGTCTCCCTATTTTGGGGAGCAAAAGCTGCTTGTTGTGTGCGACTCAAATTAAATGATTTAAATATAAACGATACACCTTGGGAACTATTACATGCTATTCAGTAGTGAAAGAGACTGATGAAAATTAAGAATTAAAGTTGGTGTAAATTGTGGTTAAATGGATGAACAAAATTGCAAAAGTACTGGTGAAATAATTTCTCGCTTCTGGTTGGCACGGTTAGTGTTTGGCACTGGTTTTGGTAGCAAAAAGTCAAGGAAAAAATCTTCAATCTGTGCAAATCAACATCCTTTCAAAAAGCCCCTGGCTCACAAAAACAGTGATGGTTCGTCTGCTTTAGAAAAGATGATGACTTCCTATTCCTGGCTGGGACTCCAGTCGGTTTCATCCAGGCTGATGGCTCTTCGTCTTGGCTTCTGTTTTCCTTTGTTAGTCTTGGATTTTCACTGAAAGACAAAAGAAAGTGAATAAATCAAATCCCTGATTCAGTATGAACTTATATAGTCAGCCTAACAGTACACAGCTTATTGAGCAATCATGATTTATTTATTTATTTAACATGAATGTGTGCATTAAAAGTACCGTTTCAGCAACGAGAACGATGCTGAGCCAAATGAAGATAAAGATGTGTTCTGACGTCTGGCTTGTTTATTGAACCAATCAGATAAGAGTTCAATTGAGAGTCAGCGAGAAGCTCATTTTATTGGCTATAAGAAGAAGGTGGACCCGCCCTCCTACTCGCGCTTGCAAAACCGTTCTCTTTCATAGGTTCACTCAACGCTGCGGAAAGCGCAGTGGGATATCCTCTGGATGTGCCGATTGTCTGAAGCCCTATAGAATCACGCCAATCCATTGGCTGATGGCGCTCGCGCAAAGCTGGCTCCGCCCCGACGCTCTTACGTCGTAGCATGATGTACGCGCGCGCGCCATCTTCTCCTCAGATTTCTCTGCCTTCACGAAGCGGTCACATCTCGCCCTTCGTGCGGTTTTTCTGAGCCCGAATTCTTCAATTCAACTTCAGCTTTCGTCTCGACACTTCAGCGACTGGTATAAGTGGAACTCTGTTCTCCTTACAGTGAAGTGTCATGGATTATCGACGCTGCTCTCCGCCATGCGTTCGTTTCATCTCGAACGACGACCCTCACAGTAAGTGTGTTAAATGTATGGGTTTTTCGCATGCGCGTGAGGCTGTATTAGGATTGTCGAAATGTAAATTTTGTGACAATCTCCTTCTCAAAACCCTCCGCTCTAGACTCGCGGTTTTTGAGAAGGAGACATTCGTTTCCCCCCGTCGCGCTCCCGAGACTGCTGAGGCCTCTCGTGGATCCGCGGCCTGGGGTTCGGATGTTGAGCTCGAGGATATTGAGTATGAGCAGACGGGCCTCGCCCTTTCTCTCCCTCCCTCTCCCGAGCACGCACGCGGCGCGGTTGAATTCGCGCATGATTATTTATGTCCCAGCCCGGGAGCCCGCGAATCGGTTTCTTTCGGTCTGGATGACGTTATTTACACTGCAGCCTCCGACTCCGAGGATTTCGGGCCTGCTCTGGCTGATGACGTTATCCCGCCTAGCGGCCAGGACGCGCGGCCTACTCCGGCCTACACTGAGCTTATTGAGGTGCTGTCGCGCGCTACAGAGAAGCTCTCTATTGACTGGCCTGATGAGCCCCGCGAGTCTCAATCGTCCAAACTCGACGAGAGGTTCCTACGTGGCCCTAATTCTAGGCCAGAACGAAGAAAGCTGCCCTTTTTCAGCGATCTGCATCACGAGATCTCCAGATCCTGGAAGCAGCCATTCTCCGCACGCCTAACTAATGCGGCAGCCGCTGACTTCACCAACCTTGTTGGTTTTGTGGAGCAGGGTTATTCCGCTATTCCAGCGGTCGAGGACACGCTGGCTAACCACCTCGCCCCGTCGTCTGCACCGTCTTGGAAGGCGCGTCCCCTTCTTCCTTCCAAGGCTTGTAGGACTACTTCCTCCCTTATTGGGAAGTCTTACATGGCGGCTGGTCAGGCAGGCATGGCCCTGCATACCATGGCCATCCTTCAAGCCTACCAAGCGGACGTCTTGAAGGACATGGATGAAGGAGAGGGACTGACGCCCGAAGCTGTCAAAGAGCTTCGCAAAGCCACAGATCTGGCCCTAAGAGCCACCAAGCACACTGCTCGGGCTGTAGGTCGCTCTATGGCGGGCTCGGTTGCTGCAGAGCGCCACCTCTGGTTGAATCTCACGGAGATCCGAGACAAGGATAAGAGTTTCCTCCTGGATGCCCCTATCTCCCACTCAGGTCTTTTCGGGGAGGCGGTCAACACGGTGGTTGACAAGTTCCGCGCCGCTAAGTCTCAGTCGGCCGCGTTCAGGCAGTTTATGCCCAGGAGGGTCAGAGGGCCCAGTGACTCCAACCCTCCCCCTTCTCAAACCCGAGAACGCTCTGCTCATAGGGCTGAGTTCCCTACTAGCAGGAGTGACCCGGCTCGCCACCCACCAACTACTGTCTGGGGAGCCCGAGGTCGTCCATTTCCTCGCCAGCGCCCTCACAAGCGCCTTCAGCTGAAGCGGTCCAACAAATCGGCCGCTCCAGCCTCCTCGAGCCGTTCCTGACCCGCAGGGCAGGAAGAGGAGAGCCTCATCAGATCTACGAGGTTGGGACAGACCGCGCAAGCGTTTCTGCCCTCCTCCAGCCGGCTCTCCTCATCCAACCCTGTCACCTTCGCCACCCAGCGTGTTTCGAAGTGCAGGTCCTGTTTCACTCTCTTCACCCAGTCCGGCGCAGGAGGAAGGAGACGCATCTTGCTTTCTCCCCTCGCTCCCGGTGCACGTTACACCCGCCAATCGCTTCCTCAGAGGCACAGTTCTTTTTCCTCTGGAGCAGGCGGACCCAGTTACTTCTATCCAGGTGGTGGTACCCCCCAATACGTGTCAGGACGCCAAGCGCTCTCCTCCACGGTCAACCGCGCCTCCCCATGGAAACCAGCGCGACACCCTACCTCAGGTATGTCCCTTGCACTGCAACACTCCTCTGCCTCTATCACATTTCGTTCAAGAATGGGAGCGTTTACCAGGGGTATCGCCTTGGATCCTTCGCACAGTTCGGCTCGGCTACACGCTTCAGTTTTGTCGCAACCCCCCCTGCTTCAACGGGGTCTTTCCTACTGTAGTCGACAGCGCCGCTCAGGCTTCTGTACTACAGCAGGAGATTTCATCCCTTCTGCTGAAGGGGGCGATAGAAGAGATTCCTTCGGGGGAAGTCGAACAGGGCTTC